TTTTATGTCAACTCCATCACCTTTGGATCCATGGGATGGATCTACGATGGGTAGTGCCATCAGGCTAGTTAGCTTTTCTAACGCCTTCTGCCAAAACTGAATATATTTGCCTCAAGCCTCCTCAGCACAAAGGGAGAAGATAGACATCCTGTCTCCATCCCCTGGGTGCTCTCTCTGCCAAATTCAGGAAAATTCATAGCTTCAGGTGCATGCAAGCATGTAGTGGCATCCATACTGATGGTTTATTGTGCTCAGGTGAGCCCTCTTTGATGTCAGTGGGGCTCCTCTGGGGCTGTGGAGTCTGTTATGGTCACATGCTTCAGGATCAGGGTCATGGTGGTCAGCAGGCTGTGGTGAACACACAGCTGAAAAAGAATAACAGCAGAAAAAATGATTTGAAGGAGCGTCAAAGAAATGCCTGCTTCTACCTACAAAGCAGCACTGTTCTTCCATCTTGATTGAAGATCCTGCTCAGGGTAATCATGGACTTTGTCATCTCCTACAAGAATTTCTGTAAGTTGGGGCTGACAGCAAGAGGGAGTGAGCATCCTCACCCAGGGCCTTGCTCCTCAGCTGCTTCCTAAATCCACTCTGTGTTTTCTGTCTCCTAGTTCATTTCCAGTACCATGGCAAGATCTTGGATTTAGTTTGTAAAGTATTAGTGAATTATTTATCAGCTACATCGGAGTCTTCCTGTATATTTTTAATCCCCTGAGACTGCTCTGTATGTACAGGGCAGTGTCACTGAACAAGGCCAAAGACTCAGCTTGTATCTGCAACGGAGAAAGCATCCTTCACTGAGACTTTAACTTTGAAATTGATTGTTGGCAAGGACAAGATTGAACTGTTCAATCCAGAGGTTAATACCTGCAGAATGGCAAGGTGCTGTCTAGGCACCCTAAAGCTTGCTAAATGATAAGTTCTGCCAATCCTTCACGTCCTTGGATTCTCAGTCCGAAAGTTACTGGTTTCTTTCTTGCAGAAAGGAGGCAAGTGCTTTGTTCATAATAAGCAGGGGTTTATTAAAAGGGCTGGGCTCAAGATGTGCTTCTGTCATAATGCAGGTCACTGGGGTCAACCTATGGTCCTGTCCCATGTTACCTCCCCTCACATTTATCCTGTCTCACCATCTTCTCTTAGGATGTGATAGCCTGAGACAGTAGTGATAGTAACTGCTTAGGTTTTCCCTCTCCATTTGGCAAATGATTCCTTCTCTACTGTCTCAGACAGCTTTAGCCCCTAACTTGCTATTCTCCAGCCTGTCATCTGCTACTGTTATCCAGTTGTACACATAACACAGCTTAATCATAATAATATATTATGCCTGTGCATGTGTGTTTTTTCCCCTCTGGGTATTTACAAGATAACTGTGAGTTAAAAAGCAGACTGGAAGGCTGAAAATAGTTGGGAGACCACACAAAAGAATTTGACAGAAAGAAGACATCTTTCCTCTAGCCAGCTGACAGCTTTTGATTTCTCAAAACAAAGTTTATTGCTAACTTCTTGCTAATAGAAGACACAGTAGAGTTCTAAGATGCATTACAAAGAAAATTCATTAGGTCCAAGTATTAGATAACAAGTGTCTGATCACAAACTGAGTAAAAGAAGTTGCGCATTGAGTAACTTGAAATCACTTTGCCCTTCAGTCAGTTTGGAAGAAATTAAAGGAAAGCTTTAAAAAAAAAACTCCATCAAATTCTATTTTTGTTCTTGCTTTTATTTTCTTTTTTTTTGTCGAGCAGAATCATAATATGGCAAATACTGATTTATAGTTCAGTAATTTATAAAATTATCTACAGAAATGCTTTTGAGTGGTCTTGCTATAACTTTTATAGATTTCCTGAAGGTATTTTGTGTAGAGAACTATAAAGCCACAAGTTTTAAATAAATTTGTTTATTTTCATTATTATTATTATTTTATATTTTGGGCATTGAGAGCACTATATTCAGGGAATCCTAAGCAGATAACACTTTTAGAAACAGAATTTTCAGGAAGATTTTGACTTTTAAGCCCTTTTGGCTCACGTTGAGAAGAGGGTTGAAGTAGGAACCTACATTCCATGTTTCTGGCTTTGTTCCCACGTTTTAAACTACTACCTCAGGTTAACTAGATTTCAACAGCACTTAAATCTTCATGTTAAAGTTCTACTTGGTCCTACAGGTCTGCTTTGGAGCAAGTCCTGAGGCATCTCCATCTTCAAAGGGTAGAGGAGGTTGAACTCCTCTTTCCCACCTAACCCTATGTGTTTCCACAGACTGGATTAGTTGCAAACCTGTCTTCTCCAAGATCTCTAGGTGTTGTCTTCTGAGCATTGAATACTTGTGCACAGCGCAGAGGACACCACCTCTTTCTTTTGAGACACAGAGGAAAGTGAAGGTTATCCTTTATTTCAGTAGTTAGGTCGTGGGTGGAGGAGACCTGAGTTCAGACTTGAGATCCTGTTTTGCTAGGTGGATGAACAGTGCCTAGTGGGAGGACTCAGACATATGCTTAATGTGTGGAGAAAATATACCACTTCTGGCTTTTCTTTGTTTTCCTTTGGCACATTGCAGTGGTTTTCTGTTCTGGCTTTCATGTTTTGCAGGTCTGTTCAGAGGTATATATGCAGTACATGTATGTAGAAAGGAAATTATCCACCTGAAGGCTGTGGATATTGCTGTGGAGACCAGGTGCCTAAATCTCGGTGTGAATCTGAGTGCTTTGCACATATGAGGTGAATCACAGCCTACAGCTCTAAAATGAAAAATTAGTAGGCGTGTTGTGATAATAGCTTAAACCACCAACATGGTCAGGCTAGATAAGCACATACAGTTCTGAATTTTAAATCCTAGCTGCACAAAACTAACTGCTCTTGTGAAATGAGTTGCTTTGCCTGATCTGAGTTTCAGACTGTTCCCCATTCCGTAAAAACCTTTGCTTCTTGTACCAGTGAGTGAAATTAACCTTCTAAAATCTTTAGCGTACTACCTTTAAAATTACGTTAAAAATAAATAAATAAGCCTACCACAGTGTTTCCTCTTTTCAAACCTTTCAGATTCAGGGTTCACTAAGAAGTCATCTTTCTTTTCCCTTTAAAAGAAGACAACCATATAGAATAATAGAGTTCTCTGTCTAGCATACAAACCCATCTGGAAAGAATTTAGTCTGCAATAATTGTGAGCATTCGGTTTAATTTTAAATCCCTGTAGGTCATTCAAATGTAAATTTATTGGGGTGAGTTTATCCCCAAACCTCCATTGGATCCAATGAGGTTAGAGATGAATTTGGCCCACTACACTAGAACTGGAGCCTGCATTGTTTCTATTGCATCAGGATATTATTACATGCTGTAACGTCCGTCATTGTAAGCAGGCCTTTAGTAGAAATAAAGTCAATAGAGACAACGTAGACAATCACCTGAAACACATTTATTTTTCAGACCTTTAAAGATGAGTAATTCTTTGGCTATGAATAAATTTATAGACTGGTATCTAAATCTCTTAGATAGCAGTGCTCTAATTCATTATTCTGTTATTCTGTAGTCATACGAGATAGTCTTTTTAGTTAAGTAAAATTCTTTGCATTTCACATTGTGCTTCAAAAAAAAAAGTTTCAAGAGGCATTCAATACATAATGTAAACAATACCATCTGTCTTTTTCTTTGTAAAATCTTCTTTAAGATAGCCCCAATATGCCTACTGTTTTCAATCACTTAAAAGGCAGTAACTCAATTATATCCTCCTCTATGTAGGAACTGCCATTGCTTTCAGTCCACTTCCAATCCTGACACAAGTAAATCACTTTGATAAGATCCTCTTTTTTTTTTTTTTTTTTTTTCGAGGAGACTAGCATAAGTAATGATGCCAGTGATAGACCAAGGACAAAATGACTATAATGGGCTTCTTGTAGGAAAGGAAAACATGTGCCATTGTGATTTATTGTGTTACTTGGAAAATGTTTTTCCTTGGAATTTCTGCAACAGCCACACTCTTACAGTGAAAGGCATTTAGCAAATACAACTGGCCAAATGGTGAGTTCAAACAAACCCTTCACTGAGGAGCAGATTTAGACAGCTATCTCTACCTAGATTTGTTAAATGGGAACAGAAGGTCAAAGCCATTTTGGAAAAGTGCCTAGGTCAGATTCATCTTTGGTGTAATGCCACCTACTTACATGGAAACACGCTGGGAATGTATACGGTTGGATCTTCCTTACAAACTGCTATGGCTTATCACGCAGATATGGCTTTTGTCTATTTAAAAATTGTTTGGGTGACTTCAGTGCTTTGTGTCCCTGGCGAGGCATGGGCCTGGCAGACACTTTTAACCTCCCAGAATAGATACTGCACGAGATCTGTAGTATCTGTAGACTTCCTGTTATGAATTGGCCTAAGCTCTGATGTGGAGACAATATGTTTAGAGGCGAACTGTCTCTGGACACATTTATCTCTTGCCCCTCATTTCAGAAGACTGGGAGAGTGCCAGATGAGGTGGTCATGTGTAACATGAAAGCTTGCTCAAAGGGAGTTGGACTGTGATTCTCCTTCTGAACCCAGACCGGCCACTGAGCCCAAATACCTACAAGGCACGGGTTTTATGCTTGGATCTTCAAATCTGTGAGGAATGCTGGTCTTATATTTGGCATCTGAAACCATATTCAGGAAATGCAGTGAGAAGTTCACTAATTTGTCTGCTGACGAGATAGTACCATGCAGTTAAGAGGTAATCAGCAGTGATAAAACACTGCAGGCCAAGTTTGGGGTTTCCAGCAACATGCTATGAGGAAACCCTTTTGTTAAATAATTTTGAAGAAAGAATCTGTGTGAGAAAACTGCCGTCAGTACAGGAAGAAGGCAGCATGTTCATTGGTTTTAACTTAACAAATTATTTTCTCATTCCAGGGTCCAAATATTCAGTGCCTCCTTTAGGCCAGTCATAGAGTGATCATCTGGCTTATTCTCTGAAATAGACAGGGGGCTGTTTAGGAAGTTATTGATATGATATACTGTTTTCTTCCACAGAGAAAGTGTGGAAAGCCTCATCCAGAAGCATTCCTATGCCCGATCCCCCATTCGAACCTATGGAGGAGAAGATGATCTAGGAGATGAGAGTCAGGCAACACAAAGCAGAGGTAAGAAAATCTTCTCATTAGCTAAACCACTGTGACCAAATTATGTCTGAGAAAAGGAGGACCACAGCCAGTGCTATGGTATCCTGAAACATTGATCTGGTGTGTGCTGCTGGCGTAAGATGCTGTAACAGTGGAGGATGCTCGTTCCTGTATGGCCTCTCTGCACATCGGATATGCCTACAGCACATATGGAGCACCATAGCAGGTGGCTGGTTCAGCGGGCAGCAGTGGAGATGCTTATACAGCCTTTGCCGGGAGACAAGAACTCTTTCTGCTTCCTCTTCAAGCTGGCTGAAAAACAGGCAACTTCATTAATGTGATGCTGAGTACAAGCTAACGCTCTCCACCCCTTGGCAGGGCTTACTAGCTGGAGCTCAGCACCACCTGTGAAGTACCACGTGGATGTGCCTTTTGTTGCCCCTCCAGCCTTCTGCCAACAGAAGTCTCAATTCTGACCACCCTCAACCGGCCTGTGGTTACCCTGGTTTACCTCTACAGACAGAAAAGTCTATAGCAGCTGGAAAAACTGACTTTTAATTTTTTATTTCATGGTCTCCAGAAGATGTCTTTCCTGCCTGAGCATTTCACCCCAAATGATTTAGGTTTGTCTGCTTTAGCGATCACAAAACTAATGACAATGTGGAGCTTGTTCTCTGTGGGGATGCTTGCAGGACAGATTGCATCTGCCATAATTTGCCACTGGAAGTAGGCCTCGAACCCATCATGTGGGATCATTGACTAGCATAAACTTGTGTTGCGTTATGCTCTGCATGTTGACTTCATGACCTGCCTGATATGCAACAGCCACTTGAGGTAAAACAGTTCTAACTGCCTTCCGACTGGCAGTGCCCTTGTCTTGTCCTCTAGCTTTATACAGTGTTGCTAAGATAAGAGCATTATTTCTGGTCATAAGCTCTTTGGACTTGTGCAGGGAAAACACACTTATTTTTAACCATGAGTTGCTCTTCAGCAGAATGTGATTAGTTGGGCTTGTTCATACGTGTCTATTCTAAGACTAGTTCCTTAACTTGCAGAGTTTCTGGAGCAACTCCTTACCTGGTACAATGCCACCCTTTCAAACACTTCTGGGGATTACCTCACTTTATGTCCGTTTAGATACTTGGCCAGTTACTGTTGAAGACAATGTTAAATTTTCCCATGCCAGAAGTGCTCAGAGCAAGGCACTTACCTCTGTATACAAAAAGAAAATGTGTCACTGCTAATTATTTCTGAATACTTCAACACCCATCCAGGGCATTCTCATCTCAGCCGTTTTCAGCCATCTAAAGATGTAAGTGGCTAACCTTCAGTAGAGTATCTGTCACAGGAAGTCTGTTTCCAAGGAAATTAACAAATAGGAAATGTATACATCAAATTAAAACTCCTTAATCCATAATATCTCAGTTCCTGTGCTCTAGCACATCCACACATAGGATTTATAGTAGCCACTTGGAATTTAGCCAAACGTAAAACTTGTAGTCAAATCCAGATTTGCATCCAGCCTTCCCTATAGTGCAATAATAGTCAGATATTCCTGGATTTCTGAAGGATTTTGCTGCTAGTATGGCGATATCCTTATAGTTAGGCTCTGGATCCTAATTTCTCAGCAGTTCCCAGCAACATCTTCATCAGATTATTTGAAAATGACCATTATTAATTATTAAATTATTAATTATCATTAATTATTGATTATTGTTATTATTAAAACAAATTATTCATTTGTTTCCCCAAAAGTTTACTGTCAAAATAAAATAAATTTTTACTTATAAAGATATCTTTGTTGCTTTTTTCCTAAATCTGAAATCTTCAGATAAAACATATTTTAAAGAGTAGAAGATTTGTGAAAAGAAGAATTTTTATAACTTTTCAGATTAAAAAAACTGCCAAAGAAATCGTTGATTAGGTCAAAGTACATATTTAGCTTGGGAGCATTTTTATAATCTTTTAGTGTATTCCATTTCAAAACAGCATCTCTTACTATGATTTATTATTGCTATTGTTTATTAGAGCACTATACGCAGTTGAAAAAAATAACTAATGTTTCGACGTTTTAGAGTTTTTCATTCTCAGTTGTGGAAAAAGTTAATTTTAGTGAGAAGATGGAGTGTTGGCTAGATTTTATTGGGGAAAAAAACCTTTGCATTGCAAATTACATTTGTTACCTTTTTGCCAGACTGAAATTTTAGAAAAATCTAATTAATTCTACTGAAGATCTGATGTACAAAGCTACAAGCCTGTCATGAAAACAGGGATATAATGCAATGAGATTCCATGTCAGAGTAGATGCTTCAGTGTTTCATACCAGCGCTGAGATGGAATTTATACATCTATTCACAAACTGACAACTCTGCAGAACAAAGTTATATTCATGATTTTATTTGAATCTATGTAAAATCAATGTGCAAAGCTAATTTTAATGATCAAGCCACCGACCCAGCTTCTAAAAAAAGAAATGTGTCTAAGAGATAGGGATAAAAGAGAGCAACTGGAAAATAATAATGTAAAAAAAGACTTGAGGGAGATATATTTGGGAAGTATTTGCACTGATAACTCGTCATAAAAATCAGCCTTGCTGTGAAATACTTGTTTTTCTTTTTTGCTATTTTACAAGCTTTGTGTGTTGCAGTGCATACATCAGGCATTCTTTATCTTTTTTTGCAGGATCAGCTTTTACAACATCTGATAACCTATCCCTCAGTTCCTGGGTATCCTCCTCAACCAGTTTTCCTGGATTTCAGCATCCACAGTCTTTGAGCGCCCTGGGTACCAGCACTGCATCCATAGCTACGCCCATTCCTCATCCGATCCAAGGATCTCTGCCTCCATACAGCCGCTTGGGAATGCCTCTTACACCTTCAGCTATTGCCAGCTCCATGCAAGGTAGTGGCCCAACTTTCCCTTCCTTCCACATGCCTAGGTACCACCATTATTTTCAGCAGGGTCCTTATGCAGCTATCCAAGGACTGCGTCACTCCTCCGCGGTGATGACACCATTTGTATGACTGATGTAAGACAAGAGAAACATGAGATTTTAAATGTGCAGGTTGGCTATGAAAAATATAAGGGACCTTCCTGAAAGGCCTGTGGCAAAAAAGTACTGAACTTGTAACAAACCAGCTAATAAAATGCATTATGGATCTAGATTCCTCCTCTAAGGGATCTCAAGAAGAGGGCGTGCAGCATGGAGCTGCTCACAGATATATGTTTAACACAGCCGAAGGGGATCCCAGAGTTCCCAGGATTTTTAATGGTGTGCAGGTTGTTTCGAAGGTGCGTTATGCCTTGTGGAAAGAGATTGTGTTTATGCAGCAGTGTACAAATTAATTGTGTATAGGTCTTTTTTTCATATGCCAAAAGAATTCTGGAAAAGGCAATGCTTTTACTCATCTTCATCTCTTCTTGTGACTAATGAGCGTCAATACAGAAAAATGTATTGCTGTAGCTTTGAGCATGTTTTAGGCTATCTCAGCATACATTTGCTGGGAATGGGACGAAGTGGAGAAGGCCACTGTCCTTTTTAAGAGACTGCCTTATATTCACCAAGAGCAGTATTTCATAGTTTCTACTATAATCCCAAAGAGGAAGTTGTTAACGAGTCTTTCTTCTTTCTTTTTTTTCCTTCACAAAACTATCAGTTTCAAAAAGAACTGTGTGCAGGACCATAGCAGTAATGGTGTATTCTGTTCTTCATTTTAAAGATAAGCCTGTCCCTTATCCTAAGAGGAGCAATTTAGCAGTCTGTTAGTTATGATGAAGGAAAGTGCTGATTTTGGAAAATGTGTTACTTAAACTTAGGAATCCAAAAGATATCAAATCCTTAAATCAAAGCTTTTATTTGCTGCTGTGCTTGCCACTGAAGACCTATGTCCAGCTGCAAATTTGTACTAAGGCTATTATTTTACTCTGTAGATATAATCAACAGATTGGTATAAGATGAATGGCATTGGAGTATTTTCCTACTTCTTCTGATTTTCTTGGGTTTAGTCGCACCTGTTGTTAGACAAGCTGTTTGGCCAGAAAAATGAGGGTTGTGTTCTCTGCTTTTTCATGTCCCGGTAGAATGGTGGAGTTTTATTCGGAAAATATCAGTGCAGAACTTTGCCTGTAATTTTTTAATTCATATCTGCTTTTTTGAGTCAGTAATTAGGAATTCATTTCGTTCAAAGTACAGTCCACGCTTTCTAGTACGTTTTGTCTGATGCAACAGAGGAACTGTGCTTAGAGTCATCAGAAAAAATGACCTCTCTGCAGAGAGCTAGCCTGAATCCTTTGCACTGTTGAAAAGAGTGCTAGTGTGATGCTGATTTTCTGCATAGCAGGAGCTGGGAATTCACTATAAATAAGAAGTCAACACAGAGTTGCTGTGTATAGTTGCATCCAAGTTATAGAAGAGGCTTAATGACCTCAATTCTCACAGCCTACTGATATTAAAAGAACAAGCAATACGATCTCATATGATAAAGGTCTGTGTAGAAATAGAACACAGAATGGGAAATAAACTTTGGTACTATTCTCCTCTACTTTTTACCAATGTGTAACAGCAACATATGGGAGAATGCAAGACACTGGGTCACCTGCCTTGCATCTCAGTAAAGTGAAAGGCGAGCCACATGTCTGTTTTCCAGCCCTTTTCCTTATCTTACATGTCCAGCCATACATAGCTATGACACCCTCCCAGACTCTTCCCAATTTCTGTTGTAGGTCAATGCATGCATGCCACGCATAAGGGCCCTCTCTGTGTATTTCCCAGTAGCTGAATTTAAAATGTTGTCAAACTGGCCATTTTTAGTATCTCAGTAATCTGCAATATCAGCCTAATTTCCATTTACTCACTGTTGGACAAAAAATGACTTAAGGCAGTTTGCAACTCTTCTGATCTGTAGGTGAACAAAGACAGACAAGCAAAGAAACCCTTCACAGTTTCTGGATCCAGAGTTACTGCAAGAAGTTTCATATAGTGAGCCAAATGAACCGATAAGGAGTTCTCTATAATGAGCCAGTTCATATAGTGAGTCAAGCTCTGCAGTGCTTAAATGGCTTAGAATTAAACACTGAATTTGGCTTGATATATCTAAACATTAGATTTTGCTCTGGGCTATCACATCATCTGAAAAGTACATATTGCAAAGGGCACTTCTTGTGTCTACTCATGACCTGTTTTGATATAAAGAACCCTAGTTTTCAGGAAACCAGATGATACTGGCCCCACAAGAAAATAACTCTTCAAATATTTAGATGATTCCCCATAAATAAGAATTTCAGGGATGATCTGGAAGGAAATTTTAATCCCTGTCCTTCAGTTGCTTGACTTCTGTAAGAGATATATGTAGCTATATTTGTCTTTCTTAGGTAAGATCCCATGATGACTTTCACTAAAGCCTGTGTGGAAATTCTATTTTATTTATTGCATCTATTTCCTTCTGCAGATCCATTAAGTTATTTGCAGTTGCAGGAGATGCAGTTAGGTTCAGAATTCGAGCCAGTGGCTTTAATACTGATACTTATATCAAGAAAGTAGGCAGCTTTCAGACAACTCCAGAAATGTTTGGAACAAGTTCACTGACTTAGGTAAGCTTGAGAAGTCTCATAAAGCCTGCTCAGACGGTGACCTACCCTCCCTTCATGAAGCACATTCTAAAAAATAAACTGTATGATCTCTTTAGCTCTTTCCCAGACCTTATCCTATAAATATCAGTATTTGGCACAAATTCTCTGATACTGTTTCTGAGACAATTCTCCTGGCTCTCCCTAAAACAATGAAACTGGAATTTGACATTATCCTTTACAAAAATACTAAATGAAGGACAAGTGCTTTTCACTACGAATGAAATTTGAAGCATATCTGAAAAATATGGCTGTAGACTCTCACTATATAAAAATATGAGAGGGCCAACTTCTCATCCAAATTCTCTATGATGAGATTCATATTATAGCCCACCAAGGACAGGGCTCTGCAAAGCCATCTGGCAAGACTTTTAAACTCAGGAAAATGGAAATCCACACACTGATTTTGCCAGCCAGATCAAGTCTCTGTTGGGGTGCTTATTCCTCCATGTGCTGTTCTCTGACCTAGGCAACACTGCTCAACCATGGTGTCCCTTGCATCAGAAACCCACTGGGTTCCCCACTGCTGCAGAATCACAGGCAGGTCCCAAGCAGAACCATCGTCAGGGTAATGAGGGCAGCTTCTGAGAGCGTTCCCCAAGAATAAGGTTAATAGATATGTCCACTTCGCCGCTCCTCTTCTTTGTCCTCACAATCCAGTCTCCAAAACCAGTTACATAGAGTTTAGCTGGATGGAATTAAATGCACAGATATCACAGAGCACGCACCAAAGAAGTTGTGCCGCCTTAGGAAATTTATGCTCCCTATCTCTCTCAGCTGGCAGTGGGCAGCATGTGAGTGATTCCAGGGATAAAATTCCCGCCCTGCTGAAGTCAGTGGTAAATTTCGTATCTATGATGGAGACAGGATTTCATCCAACTTGCTTATCTAAAAGTCCAGCTATATGGATGGCGACTGTAGAGATACCAGCAATGCTCTACAGGAAAGACTACAAACCAGTGCTACATCGTTAGCATTGATTTCACAATTGGAAGAAAGGAATGTAAATTTGTTATTAATCACTAAAAGAGTGAAATCACTTTGCCTAAAACAATCTGTACTATTTTGACAATAACTCAGTAATTTATTTAAGGAGTTGCTGTACTGCTGTCATAATTATATCACTTTCAGTACAGAACATCTGTTGCTGGTGGATGATCTAGGAAAGCCAAATACAATCTAGAGTTTATTTTCCAATATAATTCACATTTTATATCCCATCTGAAGTGCTCTTCACCTTTATGAGCTTTCTTGGCTCAGTGAACTGGTGCTGTTTTGTGTTGTTTTTTTAAGAAGGGTGGAGAAAACATGCCTGAATATGCTTTTCAAAGAGACGGATAGGATTATCCTCCAAAGTGCTATGAGTGCATTTGGGTGTTTTCTAGATTACCCCTTTATCCATAGATAGTCAACAGCCTCAGGTCTTTTATCTAACAAAAGCATCCCGAAGAGTAACAGAACTGACTTAGATGCATTTGTCTGATTTTTTTTTCTATTTTTGGAGCCCTGAAAGAAGTTAGACATCTAAAGCATTTTAAATGTGGCTGTTTGATTTGCAGTATTGCTTTATTGCAGTATCGCCTGAGGAACTGTCAAAAATACAAATTCAGTTCCACTGGCTTCAATGGTACTCTTCTAGGTATAAACTGACAAACAACCATAGACCAAGTGGATAAGAGTGCGGAGTTAAGGAGTGCTTTTCTAATGGGAATGCTTCTTTACAAATTCTAGGATAATACCTTGTGTAATAGTATTACAGTCTGCAAAATGCAGTAGGAAATCTTCCCCTAGAAGTCTTTAAGCGTGGTGGCTGTGACACTGTTTAAGAAGATGCTGCAGCTTCCAACATCCAGCAAACACTAACCAGCATTTGAAAAAGAATCTCTTTTACACTGAAAAAGTTTGGGCTCGGAACTTGGTTAGGCACTGTATCCTCTTCGTGTTTGTACATGTGTTACATGGAAACAGAAATATCAACGAAATTTATTGTGAAAATTGGACAGCTTTCCAAAACTGGAAGTTGATGTAAATTGTGGTAATTTACCCATAGACAGAAAAGCAATTGTGAGATCAGTGCAACGCATACAGCTCGTTAGCTGGGAGGCAGTTTGTGGCCACAGTGCTTATACTGATCATCTGCAGAGGGATGACATTCATTTATTGCAAGATTATTTCACTATTTCACTAACCGAGCCTTTTCTGCTGCAGAAGATGTATTTTTTTCAGTAACCACGTACCTGCTGGCCAGAGGATTTCTAATTACTCTGTGACTAACTGTCCTTGAATACAGCTTCTAGTTTATAAAATGACAACTTCTTTTCCTTTATTTTACCTTTTTAAAAGAAAACTAAGCAGTGATTTAAGTAAACTCTCAAGTAATTTTTTATGATAGTTTAAGGACAAGAAATACAGTTTGCTGTATTTTACCTTTAGCACATTTAAACAATCTTTTCTTTTTTGTTGTACCTTCAGAAACAGGAGGAAAGATTTTGTTTAAAAATAAGGAAGGTAAAAACTGGATGTAACCTCTATAACAGAATGTACCACAGTTCTGCTGTTTGCTGTGTTGACTTTGTTGTTTATAATGCATTGCGTGAGCACATTCACCATGTACTGAAGTGTGTGTTTGTGTGTATGGGGTGGGGATAGGGGGGAAATCTTTTTATGGAAAAAGAAGTTATGAACATAAACTATGAAGCGACATCTAATGAAAAGTTTCTTTTTAAGTGCAATATATTTATTTCTGCTAGAAAAATAATATCAACATTATGTAATATTTGAAGCATTAAATGTTATTTGTAAACAGCTTAAAATTATATATATATATCACAAAACCTGTACAGAAGTGCAAATGTGTGGATATTCAGTTTCTTTCATTAAAATATTGGGTGTTTTGATATATCATTCTTATTTAGCTAAAGCTTTCTCCTTCTGTTGTTCTGTCTCTAACCAAGTCACTGGGTGCAGTGAAACCAGTGATGGATTTCTCTCAGAACACTCAAAATTCAGAAGAGCTGCTCATCTGCAAAAGGTAGCCTAAATCATGGTTCTATAGTGATAGTTGTATTGTAGTTAAATGTAATTGTAGCTTGTGCATTTTTACACAAATGATTTTTCAAAGTGCTTTGCAGCCATGTTCTTATTCAGACAGTCCTCCAAATTGCTTTTTTTCACAGGAGTGCAAATAAGAGACTGAAATTTGGGGTTCCCAGGATCACCAAGATAATGATCAGAGACCAAGGAAACAGCCTAAGAAAAGAGGGGAAAGGACTTGGGTCTGTTTAGTCTGGAGAAGTGAAGATTATGGGAAGATACAAAGATGTTTTTCAAATCTATGAAGAATGTAAAGACAGAGGGAATAAATTATTCTACATATCTACTGCAGGCTTTTAACAGGTTTAGATTTTGTTTGTATTTTAACAGTGTTATGTTAAAGCAAGAGAGACTTATATGAGCCACTTAAGATATTCAAAGAAGACAGTAGTGAGGCAAAACACAGGATTGCCTAGGGAAGTTAAGGAGCAATTTCCATCACTGAAAGTCTTTAAGAACAGGTTGAACATGCATTTGTTAAGAATCATATGAATAGAGCTAACGTGTCCTTGGGACAAACAAACGATCTCTTGAGATGCTTTCCAACTTTCTATGAGAGCTAGGCGTTAAAGCAGCTTCTGACAAACTCCTCGGATTCCTCTGTGTGTTGTCTTTACACACCTGTAGTTCAGTTTATCCTCAAATTGAGATCAGCTGTTGAGTGTTTTGCAGCTACTGCAACCACAGCAGTGGCTGGCTTATGGAGAAACTTGATGTGATAGAAGAGCACAAGGTCCCATTGAACAGTTGTAGCATTGCTTTAATTTGGTTTCTGTCTGTGAATTTAAACAAGGAGAGACCATCCTGAGGTAATTCAAATACATGTTTAACTATTCTGAGTTATACTCATGCATTACTCTATGCCTTTAAATTTGGAATTTGAAAATGAAGACAAGCTCAGTGAGTTAGTAACTATATATGGTGTCTTTTGTCTCTGTTTAACGTCTGCTTGGTAGCAAAAAACTTCTATTTATTCTCTCACGGATATTTGGTGCTCTGAAAGTCTTTTGCATAACCTCAGGTTGGGAGGGGGCTTTCCTGAGTGCAAGAAAAACTGAGCATGTTCTTTGACACTTTCCTGATTCAGGAATGCGAGCTGTATACTTGAGTTCAAGTTACAGTTATGTCAATAGCCTCCTTAAATCAGTAGGCTTGCTCACTTAAATTTAAATCATTACTTAAGTATTTCATTGACTCTGCAGCTGAACCCTCTGTGCTGTGTAGAATCAAGACTTTTGGGAACAAATTGTCCATGCAACGAACACCTCTGTCGACAATAGTGAATGAAGACTCCAATTATAGAGAAAACAGGGGATTAAATAAAGCAAAGTTCCTGAATTGCCTCCCAGCAGAATTACTGTGAAAAGACTGATGAATAGTCATGATGACTGTAGGCTGGGTCTTCTATTTCATGTTTAGTAAACAGATTTGTATCCAAATTACCTGTCTTGGAGTGCAGAAAATAAATGGAGAGTAATTTTTCTAAACTTCCCATGTAGAAACATTACATAACGAATACATCAATTTAATGGCATGCTAGCCACTGAGAAGTAAATAATATTTTGAATCACAAGTAAAAAGATAATTACATAAAAACACTTAGAGTATACAGCTTCCATTCAATATCTGTATTTAGCAATAATCACTAATGACAATTCTAAGAAAAAGGATTTAAATTGCCAGTGGTCTGATGTCCAATATCCTCATTAAAGCCAGTCAGTGATAATCAGTGTTGGTCAGTGAGGCTCTAGAGGGAAACTGCCTTTGGGGGAACTATGTGAACTGGTCCTTGTCCTCACTGATGACATCTGGAGGAACTAACAAAATCCCATGAGGATGCTTACCAGAAAAGTTTACCAGTGAGGCTTTTTTTTGAAGAGTGGAATGGTAACCTTTTTCAAGACAGAGCGTGTTACATGTCTGATCACTGTAGCATTTTTAGCTCTGCCAATTATTTTTCAGTCTACTTTCTTTTTAAGGAAATAATAGAGAATACAATTTTACAAGCAGATATAGCAAAACCTGGCAACTTTTAGGCCTTTTATGTTGGAAACCAGGCTTAACTCAGAAACTGCATTAACTAGTTTGATCTTCTTTTAGTGTTGAATTAAAATCGGGCAACCATACTGACTCTTTTTGATCTACTAGTTGACTTGGAATTGCTTTTACTCTAATTGTGAACCCTGCCAGGGATATGTGCTGTTATTTTTGAGTGGCTCCAGGTTTTTGTGTCCCAGAGAAACTCCTAGTTCTGAGCCAAGGTTTGGCTAACTTCATGAATATTTGCTTCAAATTTCTGTTGCTCTCCTGTGTTTGGAGCAAGGTGCTTAGCAGGAACAGTGGTGACACAAATAAATAGTGGTTCAGATATGCAGAAGACATTCCACTAGCTTTTCATCTGCTTTAATTCAGTCAGCTACTATAGAAGACTAGGTCAAAAAATAAGATCAGTTAAAGAAGGGCAAATACCTTCCACTAAATCTGTACTTGATAACATTTAAGAAAAATAACCCTCAAAAAGATGGAAGTAATAAAGTTCTTCGAGCATTTACAACTTTTCTCTGTTTAGATGCTTAACTTGTGGTCAAACGTCCCTAAAGATTCATAGCAGGGATGAAGTATATGTCACACATTTTGTATCTTTTCCAGAAATCTATAATCTCCTCTTTCAGAGGAAATCCATTCATATATTTTTTGTCACCTCAGACTGGAGTTATTGTTGTACTTTTTGCATGGGCCTCTGTCTTAAGGCATCTTAAAATGTCCTGAAAGCAGTAATATGAAATTGCAGAAGTTCATGAACTCTTCTAATTAAAGTCTGCACTAACTTCCAGTCAGCTTTTAGGGGCAATGCATAATATAACTTAAACTATAAAATCCTAAATTATTTGAGTCTTTGTCATCAGAATCCACTCTCTCCTTGAGTTATCACAGAGCTGGAATGAGCTGTGATGCTTAAACTGATTGTGTTTGATAGGAGCTGCTGGAAGTGTCCACAATCAGTGGGGGGATACTTGGAGAGTCAGTCCCCCCACACTTCTGTCAGTACCTGCATTTTTCCGTATGTTTTTATGATACGCCAAGTCTATCGATCTTCATTGATGTTCTCTAGTGTAAAAACTGAGAGTGGGAGAGATCTGTTTTTTATGTTTCTTTTGCTCCCTGTCTTAGTCATGGTTGATGCACAGTCACTTACAAGTCTATTATTATTACTTCTGCTCTTTCATAGATCTCAAGGCAGCCAAAAGAGGAAACAATTTTTATCTAGATGCAAATCATTGGATGTAAAATTTGCATTGATAGTATCTGAACAGGTACCCAGGGCTTTGGAATGGCAGGCTTCAATTACCTTCCTCTGAATGTCGTAGCCTTCAGACTTGAGACACCAGTCATGCCACTTGGCTTCAATGATGTCACAAGTAAGTTAGTAGTACTCGGGAGATTTGTCACTCTGACCTTATTTAATCATTCCCATTTTCTGTTAACATAGTCACCCCAAACAGTGCATTTCCAGAGGATGATTAGATTGTTTTAGATGGTTAAAGTCTTTATCCTTATTTGCTCTTTCATTTTACAATGCTCCAGGAACATCACACATTTTTGTATGCACATATAAAAGTCAAATGCTTGTGCCCCCATAATTTCCTTTACAAGGCTTTAAGCATTTTTCAATTGTTTTTAAATGAATTAGCATGTACTGTATATCCTGCCTAGCACTTAAGACAATTTGGCATGGTTTCCAGTTCTTCTGGATAGACAACTTGTCTTTTCAATCAGGGAGAATGTTTTTCATCCTAGATGCCTGCTAAGGGAAAAAAGATTAATAAGGAATATTGTAGGCTGAGATTTAAAAGGCATCCAGGTATATAGATGCACAGATCCTACTAATTTTAGTAAGAATCATGCTTCCAAATCCCTTCTTAGCTATAGTGTTTGCTATTTTGGCAGGCTTATGATTTATTCAGAGATCAGCCTAAAAGTTTTGCTACCCTTTCCTGAAACTGTATTTTAAAGTTTCTTTTGCCCCATGCCATAATATCATGTCTTTGTTCTCCTGTTGTTTCAATAGCTTTGGCCAAACTGTTAGGGAACACATGGATACTTCCTTTTTATTTACTATCTCAATAATAAGAACACTCATCTAAGTTGCAGAGATTCACTTCTTCTCTCTGTTTGTGGGGACTGGGACATGCTGACTTTTGTGGCTCCTCTTCTTCGGAGCTTAGTTCTCTTCTTATGCAAAGCATGAGGAGTCTCTACGCTTGTCTCAAAGCCAGAGCTACTATCAAAACAAGCATAAGAAGAGTCTATGTACTTGTCTCAAAGCCAGAGCTGCTGTCTCAGCAAAACAAAATGTTGCTGTCCCAGCTATGAGGGATGAGCCAGAGCTCTTTTGACACAAAGGAGGCTGGGTAAAGTTGGAATGTGGAATTGCATGGGGAAGAGTAGGACCAGCACACTCTTACTGCAGCCAAGAAGTAGTGTCTCCAACCCTCGCTCCTGAGCAGTAGCTGCTGCTCTGGCACATTCAAGTATCCCCCTCAGCAAATTTTGCTCTCCAGGGGTTTGGTATAGGGAGCAAAGAAGGTAGCAGAACTGGGGCTGGTCTGTCCCCCCTATCCATACACATATAAATACACAGACTCTTTGATGCCCAGGAACTGCCTTGTCAGCCTGTGTGTAGAGCTGACTTTACTCAAGGCTGTAGATTCCCCTGGTGATCTAGGGACCTAGAAATTAAGATCCGCAGTGTTCAAGTCTCTTTCATAGATCAGGCCCCTAACTGCATGTTAGGGTTGAACAAGGTCCTAGTCCTGCCTTCATCTCAAATCCTAGTGGAGAACTGTGAGAAGTTTAGATGATGCTTATTCTGAAGTCCAAACCTTAGCAAGACTTTGGTAAAGCCATTTTTTACAAGTAGAAATATGTCCACAAATAGGATATCCAAAAATTGATGACTTAAATATTTCTAGTGTTTGTATTATTCTGGAAATCCACAATGCAGCTGTGATGAGATGGGCACTTTCAGCAGAATGAACACACTGGGAAAAACTAGAAAGACAAGAATAGCAACTGTCCAGATGCTGCAGTAGAAATAAATTGGAAGCTGAGTATAAGATCCAAATGGGTATTTAGAGTCATTGCAAATAGAAGTACCAAATTAAGCAAATAACATGTCATTTTGAGATGAATTGCTCTATGTGCCAAGTGTAAACCTTTGCACTGAATATGCCCTGTATGATAACAGGA